GGCCTGAATCTCATAGTAGCATCATAGCATCAGACTAACTACCTTGGTAATTAGTAATTACTAGTTTTTCAGTGTATCAGTATATATGTAATGATGAAGTACCCAGAAGCCGTAGACCAACTCTGAACCATGTCATGTCAATTTCTGAAACCACTGTCGAAGTATTCAGGTTGCGATCTTATCTTGGGGCAAGGCCCACGCCCCCAGGTCTTTCCCACACAAGGTTTCTCCCTGGGCCCAAAGAAGTTTCGCGCCAGAAGCTCTGGAAAGTCGGTCCCGTTGACCATCCGATTGCAGCTTCCGTTGGGAGACTATGGCCAAAAATCCCAACACCACCGGCTTCCGCATCGCTCTCGCCTTGTAAACCCTGAGCCCTTCTACGCCAGCTCCGCCAATTCATGACGTTCCTGGCGAGTCATTTCCGCATCATGTGCGGCTTCCCAAGACAACGCTGTCTAGTGCGAGGCGGAAGCGAGAAAGGGACTGTTTTGGCCGTTCAACCGTGGGAGACTAGAGATACCATGTGCGGCGTGCCTCTTGTCTTAAGCCTCTATACGTCTTGTTGTGCTATATGATCTTAAGATATATCTCTCGAGGTTTGGGTCGGGGTTGAGGGTAGATTTCGAGCTCCCAGTTTCACTCGTAGCCCGTCGCAGCCTGACCAGAGGATGCGGCCGCACCAGTCTGGCAGATTTTTTTTGCATACTCTCTCAAACCCAGGAAAAAAGATGATAACTTCACCAGACCTTCAACCTACCGACTCTCGCAGCAACCTGGGCTTCCTAATTCACTTTGCGCCCTGAGTGATGCGACGGCCGTGCCATCCACAAGGGCTCATGTGCATGTCGGGTTTTTGGTTTTGGGTTTTGTATGAGATTCCTAAACCCCAAACCCTGAACTTGAATCTTTAAGCCCGAAGGCCTAAACTCTAAGCCCTAAGCCGGGACCCCTTACAAAAAGCGCTGAGCGCCCCAGCAACCCGGAACTCCCCCACCTGCAGCCCTGACAGGCCGTAGGTCCCTGAAAAAATTCGGCCTTGGGGCTTCCGGGCCCTTGCGGGTTGGGGGGCTTAGGGTCTATACAGGGTTTAGGGTTTAGGGTTTAGCTACTAGGGTTTAGGGTTTAGGGTCTAGGGTTTGGGCTTAGGGGGTTTAGGGGGCTCAGGGTTGAAGAGGCTTAGGGTTAGGGCCCTTAGGGTTTAGGGCTTCGGGCTAAGGGCTCTTAGGGGTTTGGGGCCTTTTCCACATTGAGGGTTTTTTTGGGGCTTGGCTTGACGAAAAGCAATTGGGGCGTTAGAGTTCAGGCTTAAGGCTTTGGGGTCAGGATGTTGGGCATTCAGGGAAGCTAAGCATGTGCTCCCCCTTAAAACCTTACTGCTGGCTCCCAGAGCCCAGGTCGGATGATCTCGCGTAGTAGTCGAATTGCCGTCCTCAATAAACCTAGGAGCGGTCTAGGGCCTAGGGTCTCGTAAGACTGGCAGGAGCCCAGCGAAGCATCTCAGGCTCCCAGGGAGAAGGCGTAGCGACACGGGAGAGCATCATGTCACAGTCAAGTAGCTAACCATTTATTTACCTTCTTGGGTACTATACTCCTTATCTAATCCCAAGGGTTAAGCTTTAATTCCCTAAGGCATCAAGGCCAATGAAATCGAGACCCACCGGCTCCCCAACTTGAAGCACCCAACGAAGGCGTGAAGCGATGACCTTACCGGAGACCCCCAACTAACGCCTGAATCAAGGAATGCTCCTGGGAGGCCAAGTGCAGTCTGTACAGTGACCATAGTACCCTAAACGCTGAACTTATAATGAAGCGATTTTGAAGTTTCAGGGTCTGGCATAGTGCCTTTTGGAACCCCATTGCATCAACGTGGCCACGCTCTTCCTGGGAGAAGATCGCTCTGTGGCAGCGCTGGGTTGTGGGTCTGGGTGAAATTCGGTCTGTAGTTCTGCAAATCAGGAGGGTCCCCAGGCGGACCCCAAGTTGGAAAACGTCCTGCAGAAAGCCAATTCACACAATGATTCGAGCCTGATAGGGGTGGGAATTGGTCAACAGGTGGCCTGACGAATACAGTTTCTCTTGAGGTGAAAAGATCTGAGGACGATCGCACCGTCGGTTGCTGGAGTTTTGTTCTTGTGCGCGCTGCGTCCTGAAAGCTACATCTCGCGAAAACCTATGGGGAACAAAGCTTCAAGAATCTTCTGGATCCTAGCCCACAACGCAAGGCAACGCCGCAATTTTCTAAGCCCGGCATTACGTAAGCTTCAGTGTCATAACCAAACCGCAAGGTTGATCGGTAACTACCGACAGTGGAGTTTAGGGTTACACCGCCCAGTGCATCTATCCAGATCGCACGATCTCCAGATGCGGAATACCCGTCAAACTTTATTCGAAGCCTTATATAACCAGATTTGAGCTAAGATGCTTGAAGAAAGGTCTTTTCGGGTTTACCCCTCAACCTTGAATCATCAACCCTCAAGCCTTAAACCGAGGACCTACATACGAAGCCCTGAACCCTAAGCCTTGAGCTTTGAATCCCAAACCCCGGGCCTTGGACTCGAAACTCTAAATTCAAAGCCCCCCGCGAAACAAAGGACGCAGAGACGAGCCTTGAACTCTAACCTCCAAGTGCATAAACAACCGCAGCAAGAACGGCAAGCTACTCCAAATCAAAGGGCATCCCTCGGTTCGTCCGCCTTCAATTTGGCAGAGCTCTACCTCACGGACGTCCGCCTCTTGTCGGAAGAAGACGAGAGTTGACGAGAGGTCCTTCGACGAATGGGGCCTTGAGCAGGGGATAGCAACCTGTAACTGTTTGAAGTACTTGAAACGGCTTCATGCAAGGGATGTTGGGTGTACTCTTTGCTATGGATCATGCAGGGTGTTGTCCATCAGCAATTTGGATCATGTTATGCCAAGATGCCAAGATTCCGGCACCCAACTATCCTCCATCCAGTGGCAGATCTCGGCTAAACCCTAAACGCCTAAAGCCCTAAACCCCTATAACTCTAAACCTTAAATCTGGCGTCCTTAAGGTCACGGTGCTTGGCCTGCTAGCCGCAGCCTTGCGCGCGTAAAACCTCTGCCCACCCACACAAAAAATCGATCTGGTCGGAAAAGACTTGGCAGTCGGCGGCAAACCGCCAACCCTCAACCCTGGAATCCAAATTCTGCAACCCTGAACCCTAAACCCTAAACCCAATGGAAAATCTCTATCGGCTCCTGGGTCGGAAGCAGTTGCTTGCTGTAGCCTTCGTGGGTAGAATATCCCTGACCAGCCTCCTCCTGCTCGTGCCAGTACCTGGCAGCATTTGCAGTATTACTCCTACCGATACCTGGCAGTAGTTGCAGCAGTATTACGTACTCCTACCTACCCGCCAGTGGCGCCAAACACGAGTTCCGATTCCTCCCAGTAGAATACTCGTAGTGGTATCATTGAAGTGACCCTCACAGTGGTGCTATTAACACTCCTTAGGATTGACTTGCGGGCGCCCAGTTGCTGAACTCCCGGTAGCTTCTCTTAGTACGTCAACAGGTGTAGCGTATTGTGAAGCTAGAAGCCTTGGGCCGGGCGTTCAGCAAGTCGATATGGCGTTTTCAGCTTTTTCGAAATGCTTGCTCTTTGTGCAGCAAAGAAGGTGCCAGCAGAGTTGCCCCCTCCCGATTCTAAGCCGTAAAGCCCTGAGTGCTGCTACTACTAAATGCTTGAAGCCAGTGCCCAGTAAAGACAGGTCGCAGATGGGGTGCAGAAGCAGCACCCATGTCGGCAGCCATTGCTCTGCACAAAAGGTTTGTTTCCCATCCGAGTGCTTTGTAGGGTGTTTCTCAAGGGTCCGTGCAATATGCTTGTTGGCACCCTCGCCCTAAACCCAACACCCGCAAGCCTGAACGTACTCTGCAGGAAATCGTTGGGACCTAAGCACATGCTAGATGGGCGCATGGACCCTTAGAGTGTCATAGACTTTCATTAACCTTCTACAGGGATTCGAACGGCTCGTTTGGGTTGTCCTCTACCGGAAACCTGTGTTTGAAACTGTTGGATGCTTACATGTTGGTACAAGTCTGAAAAGTCCCTCGCAAACGGAATGGGCAGCACCAATCATAATCAGTGAACTTTTGCCTTTCACGCGGAAAGTGTTGACTTTTGGGAGACACGGGTTATCTTTCCTCTCCTCTGGGGTAGGATTATGCACGAGTAAGGCAACGATCAGATTCATGACAGTTCATGGGGTAATGACACCTCGGCAAACAGTACTACCCGTAAGCCTTCAAGCAGGATTTCCAGGTCGTTCAGATATTCGGAGGCTCCACATTTAGGGTTTGGGCCGACCTTGCGGCCAAAAGTCTGTGCACATGCAGAACTTGCTTCTTGCTTGTTGGAGCCCAGGGATTTAGCCTGGCCTTCCTCACAATGCCTGTCTGAGGTAAGTACGAGGCGCTGAACATGGAGGCGACGCTTCATTATCAAACCCCTGTTTTTCAGGGTTTAGGATGTAAGGTCGGGATAGTTGCGATGCCCGATGTTTGGCTGTACTTTATGAACGGATTTCAAGTCCTTCAGTAGAGTACCTGGGAAAGATCTGGAATTAGTAAGTGGGTTACCGGCATGGTTGTAATTCGGTTGCACATGCGCCTGAGCTCCAACATGCAATCTGGTTTGCACAGAGACAGCCACAACCGTCCGATGCCCCGGAATATTGTCATACCGATTTCTAGTTGGACATTCGGAGGCGGCTTATGGGTGGCTGACGAAAGTGGAACCGTACTGCTCGAGGGTCAGTGGGGGCGTGTTCTCGAGATTGATCCGCCACCCCAACTCCATCACCCCGACCCCTAACCGCACCATCCCGATCCTCCCAACTGCCTCCGCCCCTCCCCCCAAACCGCACCATCCCAACCATCCCAACCATCCCAACCATCCCAGCCCCCAG